CCATGGTGTAACGGTTAGCACTCTGGACTTTGAATCCAGCGATCCGAGTTCAAATCTCGGTGGAACCTACTTTTTTCCTATCGATAAAACGTTACCTTTTCCGTCTCCGTGTCTGAGCATTGTTTGTTGGGCCTGTATTCAGGCGCTAAATAACCCGCCAGGTGTGCTGGGGGACCACATCCAAATACTGTACTGCTCTGACATAGTTTCACCCTTCCCCTCGACGACAGTATGAGGGTAGACGGTGTTACCAAAGGAATGCATGAATCACCTGAGGCACCATCTGGAACAAACAATTGTTCTATAAGTATCAACCTCAAAGCGTTACTCGCATGTCAGGAAGCGTTCGATATTTATTCGAATTGACACAGAGGAATACAAATCTTCAACGTATTGTCTGTTTGCTACCATAATTCTAACTTTACGGAACGGTGAAGTGATAAATTTACTGTTAAGAAAAGAGCCACTGAGCCGCCGAAATAAATGAACACAACCCTAATCTCTCAGAATTTAAAATATACAGGGTGTTCCGTTTTTATTGTTACAAATTTAAACAGGTGATAGGATATTCAATTCTAAGACAAAAGTTTCCTATAAACATGTATCGAAAAATGCTTGGTAAGGGAGCTACACCCCCTGGACGGGGGCTAATATGTTTTTGCTAATATTTCAGAAACCATGTAAGATAAAGTTACAAAATTTGGTACAGATGCTAACCTTTATACACCTAAACGAATTCAAACATCAAATGTCGAAATTTTTAATCAGGGGCGTACGAAACTGGGAGAGTTCATGGTTAAAAATACCCTATTTATTTTGGCTTTAGTTTCTTTAGTTATGCATTGACCAAAATGGTGGTCACTTTGAACAACTCCTTTATATTTAGGCAAATTCATTTAATTAATGTTATTATTGTTACTGTAATGTAATGTTAATTAGTTGAGGTTCATTAAAAAAATATGAATTTCATGATTTTATTATTCTGTAAATTCTGATTTATTTGAATGTTGTATTGGTGTGTAACATAAATTTTAAATTAATTTTATTCAAAAACAATAAGTCGTATCGACACAAGAGAGACTTTTCTGTGATAAACTATCGAACTTAAGATTTTGTTGCTGAAAGTACCGAGAAACTAAAGCCAAAATAAATAAGGTATTTTTTTACCTTAAACTTCCCCAGTTTCGTACACCCCTGATTTCGACATTTGATATTTGAATTTGTTTAGGTGTATAAAGGTTATTATCTGTACCAAATTTTGTAATTTTATCTTAAATGGTTTCTGGAATATTAGCAAAAACATATTAGCCCCCATCCAGGGGGTGTCGCTCCCTTACCAAGCATTTTTCGATACATGTTTATAGGAAACTTTTGTCTTAGAATTGAATATCCTTTCACCTGTTTAAATTTGTAACAATAAAAACGGAACAGTCTGTATGCAGGGTGTTCGGTCCAAGTCGCCCCGGCTGATAACACCTAAACTTACTAAACTACGTAAAATAAGAAAAAAACTTCCTATATAGTCCTATATCCTGAAATGCTTCCTGAAGGAGCTAGAGCCCCCTGAAGATAGTGGGCAAAAATCTTTTTTCCTCAATTATCTCAGTAATTAATGGACATAAATTTACAAAAGTTTGCATATAATGGAATTTTTTGAAGCTAAATGCTAAAAATTGTTTACCCTAATTAGAGGGGTTATTCTATTTAAGATAAAAAATTTAATTTCTTTTTTATAATTAAAATTTATTCTTAGTAAAATAAACGTAATGGAGGAACAACAGTAACAGAACAAAAGAAATAAGAAAAAAATGTGATATCACTGTTACAAATTCACATTTAGACAACAATAAAAACGTAAAATCTCGATGAGGTTTAAAGATTCCAATTACTTAAATTGCCCCAATTCAAAAAAAAAAATAAATTCCATTTTCTACAAACAAAATTTTACTTAGACATTTTTAGTTAAAATTGTTAAAATTTAAAATTGTTCGATAATACGACATGGTTTTTGCTTAATTAATTACTATCCAACAATAACTAACAATAAAATACAAATTCGTTATAAAAAATCTAAACTTAAATGATCATTTTCTTATGAATTATTTACTAATAATATTGAAACGCAACGTGCAACAGGTTCCCAATTATCACTTTATTTATTTATTATTAGCAAAAAAAAATCTAAATTATAGTAGTTGAAGGATTGAAGATATTAATAAGTGTCTGAGAATTGTGATTTTCAATATTTGAACGTTATCAAAAAATACGAGTATGAGACAATATTTTATCTCAAAAAAATCGGCAATATTTTATTTAAGAAAATTTTTTTAATGAGTAGAAAAAAATTTTTCAACGCAAAGTTTTACAGCAATTTAGGAACACAAAATAAAACATAATAAAAAAAAAACTACTTAAGAAGACTTACGAAATGAAAGTTAAAAAGATTCCAAAAAGAATTGTTTTAAATTTTCAAATGATACTATTTTTGCATAGGTAGTTAAAAAAGAGGTGAAAAACTCATTTTTTTAAGTGAAACTTTAACTACATCTAGAGCTAAAGTTAAAGTAAAATAGCTAATTAATGCTTTATTGCAATAGTGCAATCCATGTAATTTTTTCTTTTACTTACTTATGATAAACTTTCTAAATCTAAAATTAATTTTGGCAACAAACACAGTGACATCACTTTCTTGTTTGGATTTCTGAGTAATGGGTGTCCAGAAAAAACGTAAAAAAATACAACCCTAATCTCTCAGAATTTAAAATATATACAGGGTGTTCGGTCCAAGTCGCCCCGGCTGATAACACCTAAACTTACTTCTTTTTTTCAAAAAGTAGATATTTAAGTAATAATATTCATTCTTGGCTTTCTTAATAAATGTATCAAATTTTTTTAGCACATCCGGTGTTGCCGGAAATGCTACCAAATTTAGTTTTTCAAATGGAACACTTATGTTTTTTTTCCTTCAAACAATAATAATTGACATGAAAAATACTGTAAACCACTATTTATTACATTTTGCGTAACACAATGCAATCAAAAAACTTCTTAAATGTTAGAATTTTATAAGGAAATTGGTCGCGTAGCCTGATTTTTAATTTTAAAGGAAAGGTGTGAATAAAAAAATGGTTGGATACAGTTTAATTGTTGGTTTGACAAATCTAATTTGTCAGTTGATGAGCGAGTTCTCTTATGGAAACTCTTGGATTTTCTTCGACTGATAACAGAACATTCAGATTTCTATTTTCTTGTTCTTCACAAAGAACCACAGGTTTTTTGGTCTTAAGAAGCAAACCTATTCGTCTCAGTTGTTTTTCAATTCGGCTAAATTTCCAACAATTTGGGTAAACTCTATTTGAGTTTTTTGCTCTATACTGTCTTTCAGCTTCCGCTCTATTTTTATTGCACTTAAAAAACACTTCAAGCTGATCTACCAATTCGTAATTAATATCATCCATTATTAAAGATCTCAATAAGATTTATTGACAAATTAGGCTTTGTCAAACTAACAAACAAACGGTATCCAAGCATATTGCTTTTTGCATGAATACCTTGACAAGTAAAATCCGCCTATGTTGCAAAATTTGCAATGAAATTCAAAAATTTAAATTGTTTTCTGAGTGCATAAAGTAAAATGTAATGAATAGTGGTTTACCGTATTTTTCATGCCAATTATTATTGTTTCGACCAAAAAAAAATAGATGTTCTATTTGAAAAACTAAATTTGGCAGCATTTTCGGCTACACCGGATGTGCCAAAAAATTTTGATGCATTTACTAAGAAAACGAGGAATTAATAGTACTATTTGAAAAATTAATTTTTGAAAAAAAAAAGTAAGTTTAGGTGTTATCGGCCGGGGCGACTTGGACCGAACACCCTGTATATCCTCTGTGGTGGACACAAATGAAACACATTTCTCTGAAACGTGCTGAAAAATTTCATTTATGATTCGCTTATTTTATACAGAAAGGGGGAAAAGCGTTTAGATGAAAATACCAGATGCTCTGTCAAAGGAAGCTTACTTACAGAAACTTTCAAACATATTTCTAGGCTTTGTGCGAAATTATAAGGAAGGATCGTGGTTTCGTTCGTTTTCTTTAGAAAATTTCATCGCGATTATGCTTTGATATTAAATTCAATCGATTACAAGAGATAACGTGTCTAACAGGTGGCCTGGAAATAATAAATCCACTCAACTTCTGATCTTATGACTTTAAGCCAATAACGATACGTATCTAATGTCAAAATATAATAAATGATGTTGTGGGTTATCAAATCGCTGTAATCTTTCAAGATTGAATCGAGACGAAACAAAAATAAAAATAGCAAAAGTAGAACACAAACCCAAAATTTGGATATGTGCCAAAACAGGACAATCAAATTGCGGTTCAAATAATTACAAAAATACAAAAAATTATGACAAAACAAAACAATTAAACATTACATTTACTACGAGCGGCAATGCCGTGAGCCCCCAATAATTTTAACAAAACATTTGCGAAGTAGATATATTTACTATTATTTTACTTTTGTATTTTCCTTTATTCTTTTTTTAAGTTTGAATTTTTCAAGTTTTGTGTTCCGTAATTTTGGACAAAATATTAGCAAATCAGATACTGTGAGTTCTACACGGGGGAGAGGGGCTATGCCGCGAGCTTTCAATAATTTTTACTTATATTTACTATTATTTTACTTTCCTTTTTATTTTCATTTATTCAGTTTTTTAGTTTAAATTTTTTAAGTTTTGTGTTGAGTGTTTTTCACAAAACATTTGCTAATGTTAAGATAGTGTCTATTCTTTTTTTAAGTTTGAATTTTTTAAGTTTTGTGTTCCGTAATTTTCACTAAACATTTGCGAACCAGATAGTGTGAGCCCCCCATAATTTCTAGTTATATTTACTTTTGTTTTACTTTACTTTTTTATTTTCTTTTATTCTTTTTTTAAGTTTTGTGTTCTGTAATTTTCACAAAACATTTCCGAATCAGATAGTGCGGTTCAATAATTTCGACAAAACATTAGCAAATCAGATACTGTTAGTTCTATATGGGGGAAAGAGGCAATGCCGTGAGCGTACAATAATTTCTAGTTACATTTACTATTATTTTGCTTTGCATTTCATTTTCTTTTCTTCTTTTTTTAGTTAAAATTTATTAAGTTTTGTGTAGTGTTTTTTGTAATTTTCACAAAATATTTGCCAATCAGACAGTGTGAACAGCAAAGCCGCTCTCCACAATAATTTCTAATTATATTTACTATTATTTTTCTTTACGTTTTTTAAGTTT